GGGTCCATCCCATATTTAATGTTAAACATTGGTTGGTAGAAACACTTAATATATACATATACACTAAAATATCACCATCATTTCCCCTCAAAGGGCTGTATTTGAGAAGCTGAGAGACTGGGAGACAAGAGAAGAATGGTAATAACTCATAGTGGCCTTTGCCCTCAGTGATGAAACAAGAATGAAGTCACAATACACTTTTTTTTAATATTTATTTTTTAGTTTTAGGTGGATACAATATCTTTATTTTATTTTATTTTTTTAATGTGGTGCTGAGGATGGAACCCAGTGCCTCACAGGTGCTAAGTGAGGCTACCACTTGAGCCACAACCCCAGCTCCACAATACACTTTTTAAATTTTTTTTTAGATGTTGATGAACCTTTATCTATTTATTTATATGCGGTACTGAGAATCGAACCCAGTGCCTCACACATCTAACACTGAACCACAACCCGAGCCCCACAATACACTTTTAAAATAAAGTAGGAGACATAATATATAGCCAAGAATCATAAAAATTCCTAAGTATATTCTGGTATCTATTTTAAAAAGAAGTACAAGTGCAATGGAATGTAAATAAACTATTCTTCATTGTGACCCAGAATCTTGACACCATCACAAGATAAAATAATTTCTAATCAATACATATGCTTATTTTCTCCTTTTAAACAATTATGGAAGTAAAGATGATCTAAATTCAACTCAATTTACAAGTCAGAAAAAAATGTGTTATGCCAAATTGAAGAAGTCCCATACAGATGCTCACTTACTTAAACCACAATAAAGTTGTGACTAATTATACAAAAATTGTAATCACTTGCTTTGTTTAGATACAGAAATGAATAGAAAACAAATTAAATAATTTATTTTTCAGATAAAAGATTTGAAGTTTGAGAAGATTTTATAGGTTATTTTATAAACATTATATAGATAGATATAGGTTCCTATTTGGTGATTCAACAAATTGTATTAAAGATGAAATGCATAATCAATACCTCAGAGTGGACAAGCAAAGATTTATTTGAATAGATACTAATTTTTTATCATATATAACATACTTGGAGTATGCCTGTGTCTAATTTAGAGTTGAATTAGGAGACAACAATCACACTAAAATTTTAATAAGTATAAAGGATTATAACTAGAATGAAAGTTAGTTCACTATTAAAAGAAATAGAGTAATGTTTCTGTGCTACAGAGGTATCAAATAAAAAACAGAGTTACTGCCTATAAGCTGAGAGAGAAAGAACAAGGCAAGTGTTTGCAGATTTAGAAGAACCTTTCCTCCTACCCCACCCCTTCACCTCTCATGCACAAACATACCACTATTGAGTTTAAGACCTACGCATCTCCGGAGAGGTTATGATTACCACCAGAACTCTCATGATGGTTAAATTGCTAGAGTGTGGGGACCTCAGAAAGTAGATGTGGCCTCTGGCAAGCAGAGAATCTTCACAGAGGGTATCACCTATAGATGAAGTGAACAGTACCAGGTCCCTTACACAACAGTATGCTGAGTGTCAGAGGAAGAATATGGAAGCAAGTGGAAGTTAAAATCCTGTCCTTACAGTATCTCTCCAATCCCTTAAATGGCAAGACCTAAAATTCATTCAGATGGCAAAGGAGAAGTGTCTACAGTGTCCAGCTTGGACAACACAGGGAGGAAGCAGAAGGGTAGATGTGGAGAGGAACCAATATCTGGCTTGTACCTGCCCCATCACTGAGTGTGGAAACCAATACTGAAACAGACTGAATGAAAATAGGAGCCCCTCTAAAACTGAGAGAAGCTTCCTCATGCCAAGAGTGAAGGCTGAAGAGTTGCCCCCACACTGGCCTGACAGATGCCAAGGAAGCTAATAATGGAGACTACCCCCTGTCCAAGCTTGTCTAGCACAGCTAACACAATATGTATATTTCCTGGCTTTTGATTCTGTAAATTGTAACCATTTCTGTGGCATCAGTAGGATAAGCAATCTAACTGCTTTTCCCCAGGTTGAACAAGCTGCAAAAAAACACAATTTTCTCTTTTCAACATATTGCATATTTCTTACAAGAGCAGACAGCTAGATCTACTCAGTCAGGATCCTGGCAGTCCCTGGGTTAGGCTACACATAATAATACAGTCATAAACTGTATAAGGTCATCTTTTTATGCTTACAGTCACAATTTATAACTTCTTTATTCCTATTTCTAAATTTGGTTACCTAATGTATCAGTCTGAGGTTAAGTATTGAAGTATATGTAGATAAAGTGCATAAAACCTGACACACACGAATAACTGAATGAACTTACCCCAAATGGTACCTGCATGTAACCACCATCTAATGCAAGAGATACTCTATTACTGACACCCTCCAATTCTCATTCTTGCTCTTCCCCAGGGATACTTATTCATTTTTAAATATTCCCCTAAACTATTTACTGGTTCACATGCATATTTAGTATGACTAATAGAAAGCACAAGGACAAATGATGCATCATTACATAATGGAGGATAAGAAAGCAAGAAGGTACTTTAAATTTAAGACCTATCTAATCTTATCATTCTATATTTTTAAAGTTATCAAAGCAATCTTTAGAAATCCCTGTGCTACTCTTACTTTTGTATGAGGATGCAATAATCAACAATGTCTTTTTTATTCCACAGGGAAAGGAATGAAATATAAATAATACACATCTCCAAATATCCCTTTGATTTTTTCCCACAGATATAGAGACGGAGTTCAAATTTTTGAAAATAAGTTGTTTTTTTTCCCACTGCTATCAAACTGTAGCCTAATGGTAGAAAATGCTATATACATTTCATAAAACGGCACCAACACAAACAACAACAAAACACCTAGCAATGATTTGGGTTACTAAATAATCTAAATGCAAGTGAAAAAGAGAATTTAAAGTATACAACATATTTTGTTCCTTAGAACTCATAGCATTTAACATGTTAACAAATATGGAATGTTTTTATTTTATCATTTCATTGAGAGTAGTAGAAGAAAAGTTATATGGTAAGCAGAAAATGTCTTATTTTTTTTCTTGCTATATTTTAAGATGACATTTGGATTTGGGATCTGTTGAAACTTTTTCAGTTGAATAAATCTGACCAGTTATTCAGTTTGGACTCAGTAATCCTGGAGACTCACGAAATCTGATATTGTAAGATTTTCTTATTTTTTGTATTTATAGATTTTTAATAACCTCCTTTAATATGTTTCATTATTATTTGCATGTAAAATTTAAAAATCAACTATCATGTTGAAGGCTGAAAATTTAACTACCTAATTTATTTTTTTCCTACCAGCTTTCCATTACAAGTCAAAAGTCTTTGATCTTATGATTAGGCTCCATAGCCTCAAGGTTGTGAGTGTTTTTCCAGAAGGTTTTCAAAAAAAATTTTTTTAAATGCCTGCCTCCTTCACTGGATTCAGTTCAAAATATTCTAATGGGAAGCATACTTTAAATAACCTTGATTCCACATTTTTAATATGTTATTTTATTTTATTGCTCTTCCTAAGTAAGAGCACTTACAATCAACATATTTTTTAAAAGTTTTATATTTGGGAATAATTTGTTGGGTCTTTGTTTCCTGTTATAATGGGCTTTCAAAGACTAAGCAAATTTGCAGATTTTCCAAACAAACACATCTGTACAGGACAGTGTGCTATTAGAAGGTTCCTGTTAAATAATACAATGTGAAGTCTTTCTGGAGTACCCATTTGTTGCATAGAATATGAGGAAGATTGCCAATGAGTTCATTTTATGAAGAAAACTACAGCTCTGCAATAAAAACCAAATAGATTACTACATAAACCATTTTTATTGTTAATCCTGTTGGACTTGGGTGTATTTTCTTGCATTTATACAAAGGGAAATGATGTCAGGAGCTGACCTCTTATTTTCAAAGACAAAGGTTCTTTTTCTAGCTTATATTTACCTTGAATTGTTTCAGCGAATTAGCGCTTCTTGTAATTCTATTAAATGCACATGTTTAAAGTACTTAAATGTTATATTTAAGGTTCATCAGCCTTATGTATAACACTCAGCCGCACTCCTCCTATTTCTTCCTCCTTTCCTTGGGAAGGATATGTGGTCGCATGTACTCCTACACACATAACCCTGATCCAGGTCTCTTCATTCCATCTCCCATCTATTTTTTATTATTATTCCAGGTTTCTTCCTCTTCCTTCCTTCCTCCCCACCTACTCAACCCAACCACCCACTGGAATCCTGAGTTCTGTTCTTCAGTAGTTTTGCAAAATTAGTACTTTCCCGCGGTTCCCCTCAGAACTACTTTGGCATGCCTTAGCTCTCCACAGAGACCACTTGCTCACCTTAGTTCTACAATCATCCTTAACTCCCACTTATCCCTATAGAAATTCAGACCCAGACCTGGTTCTTGCTTTTCCATTTCCCTTTTCAAAGCAAAATATTTCTTTGGAAGGTACAGCTAAGAATCCCAAAAGGCAAAATCATTGAACCAGTGCAGTAAGAGGGCTTTGTATTAAATGAGAATTTTTGCTAAACTACAGTAACACTGAAGTGCGTTATGGTCAATGCCTAGCTGATTGCATTTTCATTTGTAATGTGGAAATACTGCCAAGAAATTGAATCAAGCCCACTCTGACAGCACATGTTACCTAGAATTTCTTGCTGCAGTACAACTTTACTAAGTGACCCCTCATAATTGAGAAGTTTGACATTCTGAGCAATCGTCTGTAGTCTACAAAGCATAATGTAATAAAACAGTGGAAGCCAACCCATTGAAAAATTATGCATAACCATCATTTTCTAAACTTTTTTAAAAATTAGAATCATAAGGAAAATGTACTTGTAAAAATTTTATATATTTTCTTGAAAAATGGCTTCAGATTGTCTCCACTTAAATTTTAAATTTTTATTATTAGTTTTATTTGTTTATTCATTCAATAAATACTTAATGAATGCCTGCTATTTATCAAAAGCACTTGAGCAAAAATTAACAGTAACTTTTATTTGTACTTACCATGGGCCATGCGATGAAACCAGTAGTAGGCAAAGTCTACTCCTAAAAAGGTGAGATACCAAGTCCATGGAGAATCCCAAGGCAAACTGAAGAACCTATAGTTCTCCCAGATATAAATGTAACTGGTCACTTCAATGCTCCTGAAAAACAGGCTGGAAAATAAGAGTGACAAGCAAGGATTATACCTCACTTTAGATACTCAATTTTGCTAAAATATTCCAGAAAATGTTTTCCAGTTTATATAGCATATGTAAAAATTAAACTATTTCATTATGCTGCTTCTTCCTGCTATTTCATCACTTTTACAGGCTTACTACATAGTATCAAAATGATTCTCATGATATTGCCTTCTGTTTCATAGCCACTATGGATGCTAGTTGTTTGTACTCTAAAATTTCATGGAATTCAGGAGATCATTCCTTTCTCATGTCCTTTAAAATACTTTTTTCATGAAACCCCTATAAAATATACAAAACAATTAATTTTTTTGTGATTTTCATTTCTAAATTTTATTGAAGAACACAGTAAACATGGCTTATAAAGGAAGTATAAAGGGCAGAAAAATATAGGGCATATTTTTAAGACATCTGCAAATTTCCTGCTGCCTTCAAATATGTTGATTTATAAAATTTACATTCAGATTAAAATAGCTTATTTCTAATTCTATTCTCTCTCCTCTCCTCCCTCCTTCCTCTCTTTCATACATAGTTAGGGTTTTGTAGATTATGTTTAGTATCACATATTGGATTCTTACAGTATTTTAATATCTCACTTATGGAAGAAAAATTAGAGCTTTCAGAATGTTAGATATATATAAATATAGAGGTATAATACAAATATAGAGGTATACAAATATAGTTAAAATAGATGTATAAGCATAGTTAAAATAATTGTTTTAAAACTGAATAATAAAAAATCTGAATAACAGACTATGCCTTGCCATCTATTCTATTAAATGTTTTATTTAAATAACTTTCAAAAACATAAATAATATACATTAATTTCATATAGCATTTTAAAAAATTTTCTGTGATCAAAATTTCTGTAATCAAATTCAATATTAGATTTGACATAACCATTTGCTTTATTATCATTTTTATAAACTTGAGTGAATTGCCTTTTCCTTTTCTTTTTATTGTTATTAATCAAAAGCACTTGAGCAAAAGTGGTCGTTCTGTCTCATAAAGTTTAGTTATAAGTCAACAACAAATTTGGTTTTCAACTTTCTGTGAAATTTCTTAAATATTATAATTTCAGAGAAAAATCAAACCATAAGCTCAGATTATATTATTAAAATTCTTCATTTTAATAGTATTTTCCTTTATAGGTCCAGTTTCTATGAATTAGCATGTTTCTGAGTCATTTGGAGATCTTAGCCTTTATTCTTAACTTTATTCTTGAGTTCAATTATGATGGAATTTAATCATGATTCACTATATTTAAAATAACCTCATATACTTTGTTTCAAGTTATTATCATTTAATCTGCAAACCAAAATATTAGGTGACTTCACAATAACATTAATATGCGTAACTCATAAAATGTCAAGTAGTTACCATTTTGAGCAGGATTATACATCATCATATGTTAAAACTCAATTTGAAATTTTAGATTACATAGCTGTAAGTTTTGCTCCTGAGTGAAGTCCGTAACCCAAGAAAATTGATCTTGCTTAACGCAATCCCAACCTGAGCAATGCTCTGAATATACCACAATCCCCTGATAAAGTAGCTTTCAGTCCTTCCATGGGACTCTTTCTCATAAAGTCTTGCTGAGGGTAGACCTCCACAAGTGTCAATCCCTAGACCTCACTATGTTGCCAAGAGTGGTTGTTTTGGGACATGTAGACAAGCAGAATTGGGACAAGAAGTCTGGAGTTCCTATGCATGAGTGATCCTTCATGGGCCAGGGAACACCCTGAGTCATGTTCTCCCACTGAGTATGGAACTCTGAGAAATCTAAGAACTGGAAATTTAATGACTGCCTTCCAAGTTTTTTATCAAAGATATCTGTCAAGGTGAGGAATAGAATAAATTTTATCTTCAAGACTGTTAGCTTAGTTGGTATCTCCATGTATTACTGAGGCTATTGACATTTGTATGCTATTGACATTTGGTCATGAGAATTCTTGCTGTATGACACTGTCTTGCACAAACATTTCCTCCAACTGTGAAATCTTAAAATTGCTCTAAATTGCAATTATTGGAGCATTACCCATATAAAATTAATGTTTTAGTCAAAAAAATTATAAATATTGTCAGCTTTATATAGTTCAACCTAATAATTTCTCTAAAGAAGGGATTCTCACTCTTGAAACTGTTGCCATTTAAGGTCAGATAATCCCTTGGTATGAGGGCCTGTCCTGTGCATTATAGAATGTATGCCTTATCCCTGTTTTCTATCCACTAATTTCAGTAGCATCATTTCCCACATCATTTATGACAACCAAAATCATTTCCAGACATTGTCAAATGTTTCCTGGAGAGCAAAATTATCCACACCTGATAATCAGTGTTAAATAAAACAATGAATCAAAAAAGAAAAATTAAAACCTAGAAAATGCAACAGAGAGTTGAAATATCTACAGATTGTTATGTACAGTTCAGTACATGGTATTGAAGCAGACTCATCCATGGATTCATTCAGTCATTCAAATAACCCATATTACGAGTCCACTAAGTTTAAGGCATAGCATGATGAACCGGGCAAACATAATCACCTGCCTCATGGGGTTCTCTAATGTATATCATTTAAAAATTTTTTTCTATGTCCTTTGTGAATTCCAGTGACAACTAAAATATGCATTATGGTACCAAGATTTCAATAAAAGAGGGTCCTTGAAAAAACTTTCTTTCATAAAGTAAATAGAACCTGCTTGCAACTGAAATTATTTATTTCCTGTACAGGTGCCAGACCTTGAGCAGTCACCCAATTTATTACTCTGTCAACTGACTTATTAGGGTTGACACAAATCTAGTTGAAATATGTCTGACATAGTATAGTCAAGCCTTTTTTTTTCACACTTTAGCATGAAACAAACTTTCTTCAAGGTGAGGGAAAGAGGGGAGAAGCTGTGGGAGTTGTATTCCCTCCTTTCTATCAGCAAGATGAATATGATACTGTTCCATTATTCATGTGAAAGACTAACCAGGCAGTGCCCACAATTAAAGACAATTCACCAAAGTGATATAGCTTGGAAATGATTATAAATCTCTGAAAAGTCCTTGATTGCAGGAAATAGCACCTACATTCTCAAAAATGTTCCCACCAGACCCTGAATCAAAGCCAAAACTCCTTCCTTTTTTTCTCTTTCTAATTCCTCTGCTCCTTTATCCACCCTAAAACCCTATGTATGACTCTGTACTCTGGAATTCAAACTTGAACTCTCTAAACCCCTTCCTGTGAGAAAAGCATGTAAAACACAAGTGTATATACATAATGAGCTTACTATATCACACAAAGATGGAATATTGGGTAGCACAGGCTCTTGGAATTACAAATACTAAATACTCTTTATGCATTGTTTGGATGTGAGCCCCCAAAATGATCTCAATATAAAGAGACATTTGAAATCAAAATAGGCTCTTCTCCCATTGTCCTATTTCTTCATAGATTCCCCCCACTCCCCAAATAGAGGTAGTCTTGGATCAGAGATAATGTCTTTTGGCAAATGAAAGGTAACTCACTTATCTAACTAGTGTGATGATTCTTTATGGGTTTTACATAATATTTTCTCTCATTACTAAAACTTTGTCCTGTCAAAGTTCAGTTACTGTAAAAAGCTAATTAGTATGGTACAAAGTTGCTATTTAGTAATGACCTGGGTTTTCAGATAAAGTTCATTTATCATGATGAGATTAAAAATATTCAATAAAGTTGAAATAAATATTATTTGGGAGTTGAGAGTTTCAAACTATTAGTTTTGAAAGTCACCTCAGCCTGAATCCATCATTACCAACGGTAGAAATGTGACACTGAACATGTCATTCAGATTTTCAGTACTTTGGGGTTTAATTTAGGATATGAGAACATTAGGATAAATGAGCCCTAATATTATCTAGCTCTCAGACACTCTCAAACTCTAATCAGTAAGAAAAGCAAGTGAAACTTAATGTGATGCTCCCATTGCAAATGGTTAGCATTTCAAAGCAACTCTCAAGAGTAAGAATTATGTTTCCAGACTTCAAGGCATCCAACAATTTATACTACTTAATAACTATGATCATAATTGTGTTTACTGCCTGATTTAGCCAGATTATGCAAAAGGCATAGAAATAAATTAGACATTTTTATTTTTAATAGCCTTGTCTTATAAGCTAGAAAATAAATGAATATTTAATGGGACCAATTAAAAAGATTCTTTAAAAAACACTAGTAATAGATAAATAAGTATGAATAAATATTTTGAAATATATGCATATGTCCAAATAATTATATACATATATTTTTCTGAGAAATTTTATTATATATGAGAAATTTTATTATATATTTATTTCAAAATCTCTTAAAACTGACTCAAAAACTTGTACTGCCTTTCTGTAAAGCTACTGCCACTTTTGCTCCATCTAGTGGAATATTGATTTTTGCTCAGTAATAGTAAGATAGATAATAAAACTTCGATCTCCCAAAAACAGATAAAATGTGTACAGTGATTTCTTACTGCTAAATTATATTACAATTCTAAAATATTCACATATAGTTTTTTTTAATAACCATAAAATTATAAACTTTTATAAACACAATGAGGTAAATTTTTGGAAAAAGTAAATTTACTATATTCTTTACAGGAAAATGTATTACTCTACTGAATAAGCAAAGAAGGCTGCATAGAGGTTAGTCTCACAATAATCTTTAAAGTTACATAATTCATAAAAAAGTCTATTTATAAGTCATCTAATATAAAAATTAAGAGGAAATGAGGTATTCTTCCCAGAAAATGTAACCAACAAACCAAAAAAAAATTTTAAGTGAAATTTTCCTTATATGGTGTTTTAAAAGTATTTAAAATTATTATTTGAGCAAATAATCATTTAATATTAATAATAAGGTGCTATTCTAAACATTACCTTCATTCACTTATCTCTGATTGGAAAAGTGAATACTGTTTATTAAATTCATCATCCAAAATGATAAACACTCATTTGTTAGTCTAATGTTGCCAAAAGTAGTAATGCCCCTTATGGCTAATGTGTATAAAAACCTCGAATTCGATTTTTCTTTTTTCCCAGCCCCACCCTAAGGAGACAAAAGTATTTCAAAGTAGTTTAATAATTTCCTCCTTTTTTTTTTTTTTTTTTTTTTTTTTTTTTTTAATGAACTGAAATGTTTTTGTCAGGAATGGAAAATTCCATAGCAAGCGTGGTCAGTAAAACTGTGCATATGTATGGTTGAACATTGCGGGAGCTAGCTCCATACTAAAAATTGGCAGAGACCCATACATATTAAAAGTGGAGTGTCCCCAACTTATTTGAAAATTTACCTACTTAAATTATCCCTCCAACCTATTGCAATTTGATTTATAATCTGCTGTTTCAACAGAATAAATGAACCCATTAAAAACAAACATACTGTAGATATTTATATCGGGAATAAAGCTTCTCTGGGGAGGATGCAATTTATGGAAGCAGAAACATTGGAAGGAAGTAACAAATTGAGGTCCTGGTTCTCTAATGAAGGATTGGAAATTGAGTTCTGGTTAAACAAGAAGGAAAAAAAAAAAAAGATGCGATTATTTTTCACTCGTTAACATTTAAGTCAGTAGCAAAATATGCCACAAGTTTTAGATAGCATTTTAAAAAATAAATTTTGTATCTATTTTGTTAAATCAAATTTAATTTTTATACTTGTAAATTATGACAGAAAAGCAGATTATTTCCATGATAAATTGTGTTTAAATATGATAAATAAAAATATCTATTTATAAATTCAGGACAAAATTCTGATTAAGAAGTCTTCCTACCAGGTTTCAGAAGTGCAAAACAAATGGAGGAATACCCAGAATCTGGTTCTTGGGACATATGGACTTTTATTACAGATCATGGTCTGTCCGACAGGCTTGTAAACAAGATATAATCTTGTCCATGGTTAATATTTTTTCTTATATAAATATTTGAAAAGTGCAGCATGTTTTTTTTTTATGAATGTGATAAGTTCGCTATCAATCTTTAAGACACTTCAAATTTTATGTAATCATTTAATTGAGATCTTCAAATAAACATTGCTTTTCCTCAAAGTCTGCACACAACATTTCCATTCTATGAACGGCGAAGCGGAAAAACATGTTCACTTTGATTTCCACTTCTTTTTTTTTTTCAGGAGCCACATATCTACTTACAATTATTATCCAAAGCACAGCTTTTCACAAGTGAATGGTATAGTCATTTTTTTTCTAGCAATTACATATTTTAAGGATGTGGCAAACTCTTGTTGCTAGCATAGAAAATGAAATTAGTCCCTTGGAGAGGATGTGATCAATGCTGTGTTAATCTAACCCTCGGCTGTTAATGATTTGCACAGGGATTCCCCTTGATGCAGTGGCTTCAGCTGAAATACTGTTGTAAGAGTTGATGTCAGCTTCCCCTTCATATTCCCCGCCCCACGCCCCGAAAAAGGATTGAGTGGGGTGGACCCTGAGAATCAGCTTTCCATTTCTGCTTATACCTTGTCTTTGTCTGATAGTACAAAAATAAAAAGAGAAGAAAGTATTTTTATATTTCACTTTCAGATAATTTGCTTTCCTCTATCTTTCAGGTAAAAGGTTATAGAAGATGAAATTCTTTGCAAAATCGAAAACTACACACATTGCTCTTTATATGGTGGGGGGTGGGGGAGCACTTGCTGTTCATTTTTGAGATACAGCTATTGAAAATATTCGCCAAATTCAAGTTCATAACCTTTTACCTTTCTCTTTAAAGGGTACTGGAGTTAATGGTTTGTGTTAGCTTAAGGAGTGTTAGGAGTAGTGGATAAAGAAAGAGAACTTCATGTTCTGTCCCTGAAGGACAGGTGGGTTTGTTTTTGTTTTGGTTTCTTTCTTTTATTCTGTTTCCTTCTTCCTCCCCTCCCCCACCCCCCACCCCTCCATTTCTTTGTCAGGTGTAGAGGATGGAATTAGTGTGTTCCCTTTTTGTGTGTGTTTTTATAAAAGTATGTATTTGATTTTTGTTTTACTTTTTTATAGTTCTGTATCTTTTCTGCTAAGCAGAAATATTGTACTGAGGATACGATGTTGCTTATACTAGTTACAATGCTATGAAAAGAGAACAATCTAATTTCATTTGCAGTGAAAGTCAAACTTGAAAAAGTAAAAGAAATGCTGAATTCATTCACTTTACTGCCTCTCTATGCTCTTAACATTTTTACTTCAAATCAGTAAAATATGTGACCCATAATTGCACCTGCTAGGTTGCAATTGCACCTTCCAGTTATCAAGTGATTTTTATAGTTGATCAATCTTCTGATTTCCAATAACCTATACACTTAATTGTTTTCAGAATAAGTTACAGTAACAAATGTGATTTTTTTTTTGGGGGGGGGGGGGGGGCATGGCTACTAAGAATTGAACCACTAAGCCACATCCCAAGCCCTTTTTAGTTTTTATTTTGAGACAGGATCTTGCTACATTGCTTGGGACCTCACTAAATTGCTGAGGCTGACCTTGAATTTCTGATCCTCCTACCTCAGGCTCCCAAGCCGCTAGGATCACAGGCATGTCACCTCCACACCTGGCACAAATTGAATTTTTAAAATAAATAAATCTACCTTCAAATCTCCATATCCCTGAGTATACTGAACACATATATGTTCACTTATGTTCCCAGGAGATGTGTAATGGAGGAAATTGTCTATAATTTTAAATCTATCTTAAGGTAAGCTGGGAATTAGCTGCAAATAACTGGACTATCTTCCTCTGATTCCAGCTGCAATGTTCAACCGTAACAATGATTTTTCAGAGTCATTATTACTAAAATTATTACTAGTACTATATATACCTAACCTACTTTTTTCAGAGTAACACTTGAGAGATGTTTTAAGATCAAACTTCTATCTAGACTATATTATGAAATTATATGAAGTCACTTCACCTTTTCTCAAATACATTAAAATTGTACTGACATTTTTTTTTTTTAAATCCACCTTAGTTTCCCAGTGTATGGTTCATAGAAACATTCCAAAGCAATGAGCACTGGTCAGAAGTAAAGCTCTTAAAACAGTAAAAGCAGCAAGGCCTGGGAGGTTGAAATGAGAACATTCCTCAGCAGCCCAGAGTACAGGCTTCTGAGGACTGCTTCACCTCTGCTTCTTTGGTTAATCCTTATGCAGTGAAAATGCCCTTCATTCATTAGGGTTCCCCTAATACATCACTAGTTACTCTTTCTATAAAGCGGGTCACTTATTATTTACTACTACTTACTCCTTTCATTGTCCAATTTTATCATCAACATGACACACTAAGAATATTATTTTCTAAACTTTTATCACATACCAGGCACCATTCCAGGCATATGAAATGAAACTATGAGATAAGTACACCTCTCATTCTCAAGTTGTATGCAAGTGAGCAGGGAGGGCTGGAGGAAAACAGGCCATGATCCTGCACCTGCCCCGGAGTTCATGGGAACAATCTGGGGTGATCATGAGAGTTCATGGGACAATAGTGAAGTGCTGCCTAAGAGAAGGTTGGAAAATGGATGAGGCTTGTTGAGGAGAATGAAGAGAGTGACTTTTGTTTAGAAAAAAGAAATGAATTGGAGGTGGCCACATGGATGGCTTTGCAGGCAAAACAAAGCACCTGTGGTGTGCTGGCCAAGCCACATAGCACAGCATGAAAGAACAAAGATGACTAAGGGGCAGGAAAATGGAGGGACCAAAAGCAAGGACAGAAAGAAAAAGCCCTCTGTTGTTTAGGATTTGTACTTTATTCTCAGAGCAATTCAGAACCAGTGAAGCATTTCTATTAGATCCAGATGATAGACATATTTGGCTGCCAAAGGGGTCATACTAGAGGTAGGACTTTGAGACTTTGTAATAGTCCAGACCCTTATATGACTTGCCTGGGGAATGCTGCAGCTCAGGGAGCTATCTGTGTGAATTATGCTAGAGCAAAATAAAATTTTCAATAGAAAATCAGAATATGACTTAGGGCTTGAACTACAGTAATGCAAGGGCAAAATTTAAGGGTGTGCCAAGAAACTCAGAAATCAAGATAAATTATGTTCTAGATTTTTTTAAAAATACCAAGAAAAACAATGGCAAAAATGTAAATAATGACAGGAGCTGAATTCTTTGGGGAAATACATGGAATTAAGCAAGTTCCCATATAATAGGTACCTTTCTCTTCACTCTTGGAGATGCTAAGGGGTTTTGTTTGTTTGTTTTTTGTTGTTATTGATGTTTTATTTATTTTTAAAAAATTATTGTTGCTAAACCATCTAACTTACCTTGGAAGCCGAGACAGAATACCAGCTGATAAGGATGTTAAAACATCATCCACACGACTTAAAGGCTTCCCTTTGCAAACCCAGCTGATGACCAGTTCAAGCAGCATAAAGGAAATGAAAAATGGAGTAGCCTGGAAAGGAAATTACAAAGAAGAAAGGCTATGGTGTTTGATAATGAAATTCTTCCATACTTTCTGATTAGTCCTTCCATAATTGGGAGACCCAGCAGGAGATGTGCACAGACCTATTTTAGAAGATCTTTTCCCATTTGATGGGCAAAGAGATCTAGTGTATTTATGGCATACACTAAATCTGTGGTCAAATTCTAACATCAAATTTGAAAATTAAATATAACTATAGACACAACTATAATAATTGTGCCAGGAAAATAATAAAAGTAGGAAGGACACATACCAAGTTCCAGAAAATACATTTAAAATAAGTTAAGTAACCAGAAGTTTATCATATACCTATGACTGAGTGAGACTCACTTTAAGAGGATTTCCTTAAGAATAAACCTGTTTCTAGTTATATATATATATATATATACAAGAATTACTTCTAATGATGAAATTGAAAGAGTAAAAACAATTTTCTTCTGAGAGTCTTAGAGAATAAGGTAATTTTCCATCTTGTTCAAAACACCACCAAAGTTTCATACCTTCAGTTTTAATTTTATTTTATGCAATAATAATATCTATTTTGTTTTATTTTATACCATTAAGGCTGTAGTATTGATGAATAAATATTAGATTTTGTTTGACATTATAATATAAATAATGATTTATGAAGATGAGTAACACAATTCTCTTTAAACATAAAAAAGAAAAAGCAATATTGAATTTTGAAAACAATATGGGTTTCACTCATTTGGAGGCTGATCATGAGTTGTGAAGTTTTCTAAACTGAACTTTGGAGAACATACTCTCTGATGTCATCTTTTTTCTATTCCTGGCTTAAACTAGCAAGTGTGGTAGGAACTACTTGACAGGGTGGGGAACTTCAGTATTCAAGTTCTAATTCTGGATATTTCCACTTCCAATCATAGCCAGGAACCAAAAGTGAAAAGTGCCTCTGAACACTTGAGAGTTTCAAAGAAAACTTGGTTCAAGTTCAAATCTAGGAAGTCAGAGTTGGACTGAGTCAAGCTGCTGCATATTCTTCATTCTGCACAATTCTACCTAATTAAAGAGGTAATACTTCATTGGAGGTGGTGAGCAAGTTAAACATTTTAAAATAAAATTTTTTTACAAAGTTTATTGACGTGGTCTAACTGTTTGACACTGAGTTTCTAACTGCTAAAAGCACAATGCCATGGTGTCTAGGAAAACTTTTAAATTTTTTATCATGTTCTAGAGTAACATATAAAGGAGGGGATTTATAGACAAAAATGGATATTGTATGAGAATTCAATTCAAGTAGAAATTCTTCTTTTGCTTTATGCCTTCAAGAAATTGAATTATTTTTATTGGAATATAATAATTTGAAGAATAAAAGAGAACAAATCCCCAGGATATGTTGACCTTACTTCTTTCTTATTAAGAAAAGATCAAGATTGCCTCTTTCAGTATAGTCTCACCTTTTTTACGTAATCAGGCACCTCTTCTGGAGTTTGGAATGAAGTTTCATTGGGCTTCATCATGTAAAACATCATGCGAACACCCTGGGAAACGGAAACATCCTGTTGGGCTTCTGGGTTCTTCATTCCTGCCCTCCTCTGATTCCCAGCTGGAGAGTATTTGGGATTCAGTGGTTAAAGCCAGAGGCTGAACAAAGAGGACGAGATGTGCTGCACAGCACAAGCCTCTGTCAGGAACAGCTAGAGACAAAGCTCCAGAGAGAGCCCAGCCAGCAGCAGATTCTGTACAGACAGGAAAAACAAGAATCAAGAACAAGTTCAGAGTTCACTGGACACCATCCCAAAAAGGGCCTGTGGGGGAGGAAAGGGAGGACTTGTCCCCCAAATCAAAGACTCACAGTGCAGTTTGACTGTAGCCAGAGTAACTGAGCATCAAAAAATAGAAAATATTTTAAAATAAAACGAAAATTAGAGTGTGCCTTGGAAAGGAAAAGCAGGTAAGGAGAGGTGATAAAGGATGAAAGTTCACTCTGGAAAAGTGGATGGAAGTTCAAAAGTCAGAGCTTATCAGAAAGAGTATTTTATCTCTCCTAGTTTTGAAATTCACAATGTGTTTAAGTTGGTAGCCTCTTCAAAGACCCTATTTCATGAAGGATCAGGGTATTCTACCTAATGAAAGGTCCAAAGTCAGTAAGCACTGAATTTGGGCTTGTTATGTATTTCTGGATCTCAATCCAGTTAACTTTCAAATGTTTGCAATCCAATTCAAGAGCAGATGTTTACTGCATAAGCATCACGTCTTCTCTATTCTCCTAAGCACTTACAGAAGAAGCTGCCAGCTGTTGCTGTGAGACCTTGCCTCTGTCTTCTAGAAAGAGCTTAAGTGATTGTACCTTTTAGGTAGACTAGAGGGTAATTAATTTTCTGCATCTCCAGTGAATATGCGGTGCATGACAGAATAGCCTCAGCCTTTTATCTCAAAGAGCTGTGATTATCTTTAATTATTATCTCATCTTTGAAACTGTTACTTAATGAAGTTATTGATACATAAACATGTTTAAAAAATAGAAACTATAGATAAGCAACAAACAAGTTACCATTCAGAGACACTATTAACATTTTAGTACATTTTAGTCAGTTCTGTTGTAATATCACATTTGGGCGACTAAAAATCACCATACTATAAAAAAAAGTATGCAATACAAATCACAGGATTTCTGAGAAAAATAAGATTAGGGCACAACAACCAAAAACTTCATAATTACCCACAAGAAAAAAAAAATTTAGAGCCTAATAAAAATGGAAGCACATTTTTACACATTGCATGATTAAGACATCCATAAGTACTAAACTAAATATAGGGTTTGCATTGAAATAGGCCTGAAATTTGTGGAAATAGACTGTGGAAGTATTGCAGATTATAGTTATGATGAAGTGTTAGAAGAATTATCTGCAGTCAGACAGAAAAATTATAATATCATGTACATATATGTGGATGTCATAGTCCACGATAACATATGTGAACTAAGAACAATGGAAGGAGTATAAGAGAAGTGTGTGCACATGTGTGTGCATGAGCTCACACTTTGTGCATAACAACACCATTCAGGTTTTCAGTTCACAAAGGGTGCAGTTTTAAAAAAGCACCTGCTGTTTTTCTCTGACAGAACTACAAATCAGCAAAGATGCATGCTCAAATTTTCTAATCATGTTGCAACAGATTTTCATTTCAAAGCAAGCATTACAGCAGAATTGTCTTTGCTTTCAGACACTTTCTGTTACAAATAAAAATGTACATATTTTATTATCTGTTCTTAATTTTTTTGAGATTACAAATGTGGGATATGACAGGAGAAAGAAAAATCCAAACAACATAGTTGTAAATAGAGTAAAATTTATAGCACCCCTTCCCTCAAGTCACACATCTCTTCCTTCAGTTTAACAGGGATAACCTTTCTTCCTAGGAGATATTTTTTCATATCATTTTTTCCCTATGAGGACAGTTGTTATGGTAATCATATAAATGTATTTAGACACACACATATGGTTTGATTTTTGTAATGAGCTATATTAGCATATCAACTCTCCTTCTTTGAGTTAACAACTTATGAGGAACATTCATTCTTCCATTCAGTATATGGTTATGTAGCATGTTTTTAAAATCTTTTTTAAGCTAAAGGCTGAAAGAGGTGTGTGTGTGTGTTTGTGCATGTGTTTGTATATCAACTAGCTCAAAAATCATTCAAATGTATTATGTTTACAGAATTTAATATGAAGAATTTGTTATGGAGATGACAGAAGAAGTAAAAAGCCAAGCAGCAATAAAGAGGTAATCTAAGGATTAATATCAATAGAAAGCAACCAACATCATTAAGCCCAAGGGATACAAAGGAAGAGATCATATTATTATAGCACAGGGTTTGGGAAGAATTGGGGAACATTGAAACCACAGGGGTTGCCTGGAAGGCCCAGAACTTCAAATTTTGCAATTACGTTACTTAAAAAAAAATTCTTTCCAAGACACTATCTCAGTTCCTCTTTTATGGCTATTTCTTATCATATAGCTTCATGTTTTCTTTCAAAATGTTTGCAGGATTTGGTTGCTGTTCCTTCAATTGTCTGGAATTTGGTTTTGTATGTGGTGTGCAGTGGTTATTCCCCTTTCTCCCTTGTCCTGGTGGATCACCCTTCTCCCCATGCCACCAGTTAGTAGATATTTTCACATTACACTTCCAAATACCTGGGCTATTTCCAGGTTCTCCACTCAGTTCCACTGACATATTTATCTATACTTGTGCTAGTACCATGGTATCTTAATTACTGTCCCATCATCATAATCTTATAACTTTGCAGGAAAATTTCTTATTCATGAATTTCATTTTTCAAAAATTATAAGCTATCTTGGCACATTTGCTAGAAGGAATCTATTTAAACTATTAGCAAAGAATCCCTTCAGCAGTTTAACTGTAAATAACTTAAATTTATGAACTAATTTGGGAAGAATTGACATCATAGACAATAAATTTGCTTTGAACAAATGGACACAAATACATGCTACAATCATTTAAACTTAATTCTCTATGTAAATGATGTCAAGGTTCACTACCAATCTTTTTATTCCTTAGCTTCTCCATTCTCAAGATATTTTTATTCATGTTAATGCATATCAAAAATTGTTTTCTTCTCTCAAAAGGTTACATATATAATTGCATATTTAATATAACTTTGTCATACCAAGATATGTGAAAGACACCTGGCTGGATATGAAATCTCTGGTTTGAATTTAATTATCTTAAAATATGAGCACTCAAAGATACAAGAGAGCAAAGAACCTATATCTAGGACAGAAACAGGAACTCCAAGGTATCTTCCAGATGTATTTCTGTGCAAATATCTCTGTTACCTCTTCCCAGAGTTTCTAATCACTGGGAACTTACTGAATGTTCTTTATTTTATCTGACTGAAGTGGAATACCATGGAAGAACCGATATAAATGACAGACATCCCATGAGAATGCAAGACATGAAGAACCTGTTTATTTACAATATTCTCATTTGCAAACAAATCGATGCACACATACACATATGCACACACACAAACACAAGAAAAAAATAGGAGAAGATTTTTGTATTTAAATTACATTTAAAAATTGATTAAGAAGCTCTGGCAATACTGCTCAACTTGGAGAGAAAAAGTACATAGAGACCCGGCTCCCTGGCACATGCCTATAATCCCAGCAGCTCAAGAGGCTGAGACAGAAGGATCAAGAGTTCAAAGCCAGCCTCAGCAACAGCAAGGCACTAAGCAATTCAGTGAGACTCTGTCTCTAAATAAAATACAAAATAAGGCTGGGGAACATGGCTCAGTGGTTGAGTGTTCCTGAGTTCAATCTCTGGTATCCCCCATACCCCCCAAAAGCATATCTCAACAGGGAAAGTTTAATATAAAGAAGGATCAACTGTAACAGAGAATTGGGTAATGAAGGAATGGCCAATAAAAATTAGGGCAAAGAAATCTGTGGATTTTTTTTTTTTAGAGAAATTATATGAGAATAGAAAATATAAGAAGCAACTAAACCCTCAGGGCTGGACTGAGGAACTTGCTTTAACTTTCAGTATTTTGGACTGAAAAAGAACAGAAATAGCTATTTGCCAGGGGTGTCTGACCTGAGGCTTTTCCCTGCAACATTTCCTGAGGAGCCAGGCAAGTTGTTTACTACACTACTTTACAAGAACATCATTGAAGAACCCATCCATGCCGCAAGACTCCTACAAGTAGGCAGAGAGCAACTAGAGAGTAAAAGCTCTTTTTCGAAAATGATTGTCCACATCCTGCTCCTGACAAAGGTTGACATCATGCCAACTAGCAAAGAAAAATATTTAAAAGATCCACTTCCATTTCATGAATCCAGCAACCAAGTGTGAATTTGGAGATGAGAGGCAATAAATCAATAACTAGAACAAGACATCACTCTTTAGTATTTATAAAAAGACTTCATCACACTATGTGAGAAGTAAGTGATGTGGAATAATCCCCATGGTTAGATATCTATATTTTCTTTTGGCGCCTAATATGTCATATAAATATTAATTCTGGGTTCAATTTGACTTCTTATTTTTCTCAAGTTACAAATTTATGCATCCTGAGTGCTTATAGAATACTTTTGTGCCTTTGAAATTAAGTAACTCTTTTTTTTTCTTTTTTTTATTAGTTGCTCAAGACAATACAATGATCTTGACATATCATACATTTGATTCAAATGGGGTATGAATTCTTGTTTTTCCACGTTTTACAGATTGCAGGATCACATTGATTATACAGCCACATTTATACATACAGCAATGTTTTTGTTGTTGTTGTTGTTGTTTGTTTGTTTGTTTTTAGCTTTTGGCTTTTGGTTTTGCTAGAATATCCTGGGGAGATAAACTCACTTAAAGCTCAAATTCAAATCTTCCTTTCCTTTACAGAAATGTCCTACAATTTAATGTGGACCTGCTATCTTTGTCAGATCCCATCTTTCATGCATACCTGTTGTATGGTCTCTGTCCATTTTCATTTTCTTTCTGAATTCTACTATTCGCTGATTTCTCCAGGTCTACCTTTTGATTTCACTTTAAATTCTGCAAATTATATTATTAAAAATTTTTTTTCCAAGACATTCTCTCAGTTCCTGTTTTCTGGCTATTTCTTTTCATATATCCTCATTTTCCCTAAATTTGTTTCCT